GTTTTTTATATTTAAAGAATTTGCCACTGACGATTTAAACGCGAGTTTCGGGCAGTGTAGAGTAACGCTTGTTGTTTGTCGTTTCTCTGATCACAAATGCAGACATGGTTTTTTGTTTACGCGGCGCGATACGCAATATAATCCGTAATTATGTCCCCACTGGATGCAACAAATGCCTAGTTTATAATGGGTTTTATTGGTGTTGTCTCATCACGCCGGGACAGGGCATCACAATATTGTAAGGGGCGTAACATTTCCGTCACACGCTTGAGGTATTCAGCCAATCACAATGCACTGGATAGCTGGCCAATCAGAGCACACCTTGCTTTTCAGACCGATGAGCTTTGTAAAAATCGACTCGTTTCAGAAAGGCGGGGCATAGAGGAGAAACAATAATGTACAGTATGTGGAAAATAATGTGTTTATTTAACCTTAAACCACATAAACACATTTCATTACACCAAATACACAAAATAATGTTATTTTTAGCAACATCATATGACCCCTTTGAAATGTTGTTAACAGCACAGTACTAAGCAATAAGCACAAATGTAAAACATACACACATTTTGGGTTAAATATTAATATTGAAATTTCCCTGAATGGATTAATCAATACATCTCAATACTACATGTAAGACAGACCTTGGTATATAAAATACTTTCCCAAAGCATCGTATGCTCACCAAGGCTGCATTTATTTGATGAAAATAAAGAAAAAAACAGTATTATTCCAAAATATTATTATAATTTCAATTACCTGTTTTCTATGTATTTGTTTTAATTCTATTTTTCTTTCTGTGATGCAAAGCTGAATTTTCAGCATCATTACTCCAGTCTTCAGTGTCACATGATCCTTCAGAAATCATTCAGATATACTGATTTGATGCCCAAGAAATAACATTTCTTATTATAACTGTTGAAAATAGTTGAAAATGGTAATAAATTATGGAATCTGCAATATAATGTTTTTCTCTACATTTTTTGATGAACAGAAAGTTTGAAAAACAGTCTTTATTTGAAATAGAAATATTTTGTAAAATAATTAATGACTAACTGTTGCCTAGCTGAAATAAAGAATCGACTACTTTCAATCAATCAACCAATCAATGAACCAATCAATAATAAAATCTTACTACCCCTAAACTTTTGAACAGTAGTATATGAGTGTCACTTCATCTGTCATCTTGGATTTATTTTTTTTCATGGAGCTTGTCACAACACATTCTGGCAGCTCACTAGATTTTGGAACAGTCAAGTATCTCAATTTTTCCACTGCAGTCCAAACTTTAGCTGGATATTCAAAGACTAGACCATTTGGAAAAAAACAGACTGACAGACAGAGGGTGGGAATAATCGGCTCCTATCTAGCTGACACAGATCAATATCCTAATCAAGCCACCCTCTAAAGAGCTGGCAGCCCATCAGTGCTATTGATCAGGCAGGGAGAAGAATTTGGTCAAAAATACAGTCAAACACATTTATTGCATCCTGGCTGAACTGAACTATGGCTCAAATATAATATTTAGTCATGATGTGAGATGCATTGTGCCAGGTTTGATAGCAATCACACCAAATGTCAATAGTTGTCATAAGCAATTTGTATGTACCAGTTTAAATGTGTAAATGAGATTTGAGAGCTATTGCGGAAGGAATGATCAGTGAATACAGACTTACATTTTGGTCTGTTACTCACCCAAAGCTATGTCAGGCAGGGAGAAGAAGAGGTGTGGGGGCATCTTTCCCTCCGTGTTATTCAGAGATCAAATCAGTGGCACTATAGGAAACAACCTGTGACACAAGCTTGCCTTTATCTGCTTAATTTCAACCTGCTCTTGGGCGTGGAGCAACTATTAATCTGTTGTGTTAGAATGAGGTCAGACTTCCAGCTGCACTCTCAAATTTAGCTTAGACTGACAACATTTGACTCTTGCAGTATCTGACAAAACCCATGAGTCGTTTTTAAAGTGTAAAAGGAACAGGAAGGTGGCATGATTGCCAGCAGGTTTTGCTTACGATGAGGCCGTGTGAGACACAGCAGCACAAGTGCAAAAGCATTACTATAGACCAGGTTTTCACGAACGTTTTTTTTCAGCCAAAGCCGTATGACCTAAAATATGTATTCACTTCAAGTACCCACTGAGATTTTATTTCAATAATTTAACAACAATTAGTATGTTAACAGTTCTATGATGTCAATTAATGGCCACATTACATGCAGGTAAAACGTGTTAAATTTGTATCATTGAGAAACAATTATAGTTTTTATTTAGCTATAGATTTAGTTTCTTATAATAACCCTTAAACAAATATTTTTATAATTTTTTTTAATTGTTTAAAAAAAAAGTATTTATTTACTTTAATGTTACACAATGTATCATTTGATTATTTATAAGCTTTTTCATCAATACAAAAACCCTTTTGGAAAACCCTGCCATAGGTGATTATTGTAAATATTGCACTCTCTGTTTCAAGTAAGCTAATAAAACTACCAAGGCAAACAAAATAAGATGGCATCTACAAAATGGCATTTATTTATTATTAGTGACAAGTTTTGCTGCAAAGTCTCTTTGACCACATAAAAGTTAAATGCCATTTGATTGGCTGTGAACATAATCACCCAAAGGTCGATCACACATGGCAGCTAAGAAACCAAAACTATGTGCCTGTTTCTCTGCTTTTTTTCTAACTCACAGTTAGCATATAACATGTAAAACTATAGATAAATTGTGTCTAAACAAAGGTCAATAGATCAAACCGCTTCCATCAGCTCTTATAAAGTATATTCATGACTGTTATGTATTGACACAGATGAGGCAGTGAAGGGACTAACTTGTTTTGGGGAGAGAAGAGGAAGACGGACCAGTCTTCCCTGGTCTCACACCAGTCTGGTCTGTACACCTCTATCATCTTCTGCATCCGGAAACATAGACTCTGCCGACAGAAAAATATGTATTTAGTTGGCAAAAATGAGCACTAAGATTAATTCTGCAGTATTCAGGGTGGGAGAACTTTCTTGGAAACACGTTTGATAATTGAAGCAGTTATGAAATGGAGCTTTCCAATGTTTCATGTCCCCTTGGAGCTGCCATGTTACTCTTAATTGCTTACAAAACAAGAGAGTCTGGCTGTAAAAAACAAGAGTCTGGCTGTAAATTAAAAACTGAAATCCTACTGCCATCTGTTAGCATTCCTCCTCAACAGATAATAATTGGGCGATTTTCATTGTGTAGTTGATTGTATGTGCAGTTGGCTCTGCTTCAAGAAGATTTGCAATGTGTGCAAACGCTGTTTTACAGGAGCCAATCTAATTTAAGATAATCCACAAAAATTACCATTTAAAAGACAATTCTCATTTTCATCAAAACCAATTTGGTTCCAACATTTGAATCTCTTTCTTCCATGGAACACCACTTTCTAAAGCTCCATAAATGACAGAAGTCTTCTGAAGCCATACTCTACTGTTAAAAAAGTTTGGGGTCAGATAAGACTTTTTTGCTAATGTTTTTGAAAGAAGTCTCTTATGCTCACCAAGGCTAAATTTATTTGGTCAAAAATACAGTCAAACACATTTATTGCATCCTGGCTGAACTGAACTATGGCTCAAATATAATATTTAGTCATGATGTGAGATGCATTGTGCCAGGTTTGATAGCAATCACACCAAATGTCAATAGTTGTCATAAGCAATTTGTATGTACCAGTTTAAATGTGTAAATGAGATTTGAGAGCTATTGCGGAAGGAATGATCAGTGAATACAGACTTACATTTTGGTCTGTTACTCACCCAAAGCTATGGTATGGATATAGAAGACTTGGAATATGACATGAACTCATATGAACTGCTTTTATGGTGCTTTTTTGTCATTTTTGCCGCTCTGCAGCCGTTCAACATTCAGCTAAACATCTACTTTTGATTTCCACAGAAGAAAGTCAGTCACATGAGTTAGAAACATAATTACCAAACGAGTGAACTTTCCCTTGAAATCATTTTTAATGGACACTTACATAGTCCAGTTCATCGTCCAGATCCTCCCTGTCCTTGCGTGCATTGACCTGAGGGTAGACCTCATTGATGATTTGTGGTTGGCCTGACGGTGTCTTCCCATTACAGTCCTGGTGCTCTCCAACGCTTCCCAGACCCCCAGAGAAGCTCTTCTTGCTTTGCCGGGGATGCAGAGGAGGCAAGGCCGGTCCAGGCACCTGCAGCAGCTCAGGAAGCTCCAGAGAGAGAGCCCGCCGTTCTCTGCACGGGACGAAGTGTCTGGAGAGCAGAGGCGGGTGCAGAGGAGGGGGCGGAGGAGACAGCAGGGACTCCTGCTCAGCGGGGTGAGAGTGAGGGCTACGGACCCTTAAACTGCCTCCGCCCCCCATCCCCAGGCATCTAGAGGATCGACCCAAGCTGTTCCAGCTCGACCTGCGACTCCATATTCCTGGCCGCGCGGGCCGTCCCCAGTTGTGGTACAGAGAGGCTTGTCCTGGACACTGAAACGCATAGAATGCAAGCTGATAGTCAATATATGAACATGAATTATTATTAAAATCAAATTACTAAATTACTAAAATTTGCCTAGCATTATTAACATTGTGCTTTTACTTCCCATGGGAAATAGGTGGTAAACACTTTTTATTATAAAACGGACAGTTCTGGTCCTTGATTCTGATTGGTTGAGCTGCGTTCAAAGCTGTTGTAAATTACTCTACAAACATACACCTTTTTTTACTTCTGTGTGTTGCTCGGCAACCACTTTGTTGCAACCACAACCGTTTCTGAGGAACTACATTGTTTGGCGGAAGAATAATGTTTGTATTAATATCATTACACTTTATTTGCTCTGTTTTATTTTGTGAAACCTTGCTACATATATGGAATATCTGTGTATATGGAATAAGCAATAAGCCCCTCGAAGCCGTGGTTTACAGTCAATTTATATTATATTAATTTCCGCTTCGCGTCGTGCCTAACAACGCCCCTTAGCTGTTATAAATTCACTGTAAACTACGGCTTCTTGGGACTTATTGCTTTAGCTGAACACATTCTGTGTTTTTAATTGACGGGTTCAGGTGATTGGATATTAGTATATATCAGACAACAGTCTAAATTAATTTTAAAAAATTTAAATTACCATACATTTACATATTAATCAACACTGGCATAATTAATGTTGTGCTTCTACTGTCCACAGGAAGCTGATGGTAAACAAGTCCAGTGGAATGAATACTGTACTGTATTTCAAAGGTCCAGGTGTTTGGATTGCAGTGGTGGGATGATGCTGTACCGTAAAGTGTCTCACATTGCGTTAATCTGCTGCGACCTCCACAACCTAAAACCCAAAACCATCCCACACGATGCACTAAAGTTTTGGGTGTTACACGATTTATATAATTCCTGGTGAATCTGACTAAAACAACAGACAGCACATGCAAATTATCCACGCTTTCTACTCATTCTTAGTGAATTCCCCCATTACTGTCTAGAACTCTTATAAAAAGCCAACCTCCTCACAAGGGCTGTTATTATTTAAACCGGTGTCTTCCCATTACAGTCCTGGTGCTCTCCAACGCTTCCCAGACCCCCAGAGAAGCTCTTCTTGCTTTGCCGGGGATGCAGAGGAGGCAAGGCCGGTCCAGGCACCTGCAGCAGCTCAGGAAGCTCCAGAGAGAGAGCCCGCCGTTCTCTGCACGGGACGAAGTGTCTGGAGAGCAGAGGCGGGTGCAGAGGAGGGGGCGGAGGAGACAGCAGGGACTCCTGCTCAGCGGGGTGAGAGTGAGGGCTACGGACCCTTAAACTGCCTCCGCCCCCCATCCCCAGGCATCTAGAGGATCGACCCAAGCTGTTCCAGCTCGACCTGCGACTCCATATTCCTGGCCGCGCGGGCCGTCCCCAGTTGTGGTACAGAGAGGCTTGTCCTGGACACTGAAACGCATAGAATGCAAGCTGATAGTCAATATATGAACATGAATTATTATTAAAATCAAATTACTAAATTACTAAAATTTGCCTAGCATTATTAACATTGTGCTTTTACTTCCCATGGGAAATAGGTGGTAAACACTTTTTATTATAAAACGGACAGTTCTGGTCCTTGATTCTGATTGGTTGAGCTGCGTTCAAAGCTGTTGTAAATTACTCTACAAACATACACCTTTTTTTACTTCTGTGTGTTGCTCGGCAACCACTTTGTTGCAACCACAACCGTTTCTGAGGAACTACATTGTTTGGCGGAAGAATAATGTTTGTATTAATATCATTACACTTTATTTGCTCTGTTTTATTTTGTGAAACCTTGCTACATATATGGAATATCTGTGTATATGGAATAAGCAATAAGCCCCTCGAAGCCGTGGTTTACAGTCAATTTATATTATATTAATTTCCGCTTCGCGTCGTGCCTAACAACGCCCCTTAGCTGTTATAAATTCACTGTAAACTACGGCTTCTTGGGACTTATTGCTTTAGCTGAACACATTCTGTGTTTTTAATTGACGGGTTCAGGTGATTGGATATTAGTATATATCAGACAACAGTCTAAATTAATTTAATTTTTTTTAAATTACCATACATTTACATATTAATCAATACTGGCATAATTAATGTTGTGCTTCTACTGTCCACAGGAAGCTGATGGTAAACAAGTCCAGTGGAATGAATACTGTACTGTATTTCAAAGAGATGGGTTCAGGTCCAGGTGTTTGGATTGCAGTGGTGGGATGATGCTGTACCGTAAAGTGTCTCACATTGCGTTAATCTGCTGCGACCTCCACAACCTAAAACCCAAAACCATCCCACACGATGCACTAAAGTTTTGGGTGTTACACGATTTATATAATTCCTGGTGAATCTGACTAAAACAACAGACAGCACATGCAAATTATCCACGCTTTCTACTCATTCTTAGTGAATTCCCCCATTACTGTCTAGAACTCTTATAAAAAGCCAACCTCCTCACAAGGGCTGTTATTATTTAAACCATTGTAAAAATAATTATGTAGTTTATAAGTTGCTCTCAGCTCTTCGAGTGCCCGCTCAACGACCCTCTGTGTGTATGCTAATATAGTGCAAGTTAGACGAGTAGAGACGGCGCTCTAAGTGCTGAGTAAGTGTCTTATTAATGGTTCGCAAAATGCTAATACATGCAGAGCTGATGGATAATTATTGTGTTCTTTGTGCTTTTTTGAGAGGGTTTGGATTGCTGGAGTGGTATGATATAGCTTCGGTGCCCTCTCGGTGAGTAAGACCCTGTAATGAATGGCAGGTTGACTGCAGCATGCACAATAGCTCACCAGCGCCGTCTGCTCCAGGCTAGCCCTGCCCAGAGAGGTCACGCTGCTCTTGCGGGAACCCAGGGCAAAGCTCAGCCTTTCAGACGGGTACAGGCCCCTAGCGTTGGGTGCAGGTGCCAAATCCAGATGCCCATTAGGGGTCAAAGTGGAAATCTTGGGATCTGCACAAACACACATGCCAAGACTGATTAGATCACAAACACATCAGAAGGACTCAAGCCATGAGAAACACTAGCTGGCTTATCGCAAGGCACAATAAGTCAAAAACTATTTGTTTTGTGTTTGTGGTGCGGAATTAAGAAGTATATTCCACTAAGCCTAATAAAGTTTCAAGTTTGCGGGTTTTCTGGTATTTCTAAAGCCTCCTCTCATGCCAGGCGACACTGGTGGGAGCGTGTAAGTTTGTCTTCTGTCTGTGGAGAGCGTCAGTGTGTACATGCATTATTCATAACATCATGTCCTTAGATCTCTCAGCGCCATGATTTTTTTCAGTTTTTGACCAGATATTAATGAGACATTTCAATGCATTGCTTTCAGTTACTCATTTTTGAAACGGTTTAGGATATTGCATGAATTTAGCATTTTGTCACAATAACTAGTCTATCTATGGGGTCAGTAAGATTTTGAAAATGTTTTTTAAAGACGTCTCTTATGCTCACCAAGGCAACATTTTTTAAATAAAAAAATAAGTACTATTTTGAAAATGATTACAATTTAAAATAGCTGTTTTTTATTTTAAAATGTAAGTTATTCCTGCCATGACAAAGCTGAATTCTCAGCAGCCATTACTTCAGTCTTCAGTGTCACGTGATCCTTCAGAAACTCTACTAACATGCTGATTTGGTGCTCAATTAACATTTCGTATTATTAGCAATTTTGAAAACAGTTGTGCTGCTTATAATCTGTGATTTTTACATTTTTTTAAATGATTCTTTAAAGAAAAATAACAGCATTTATATAACTTTTACATTATAAATGTATTTTCTGTCACTTTTGATCAACTTGATAAAATACAGTATTAATTTCTTAAAAAAAAAAAAAATCTCAATGACCCCAAAACTCCAAACTTGACACCAAACGATAAATGACTAGCTTTAACTAATTAAAATTATTGGCATAACACATCATTTACATCTGGACTTATCATTGACAAAACCTTCACCAACAAAATTATTTTAAAAAGTCAAAATACAGAAAGGCTTACTTTATGAATGTTAAGAGGCCATGCCGTTATACAAAACCATGTTCCAGTCCTCTTGAGTTAGGATCTACACAAAAACACACACAGACAAAAAAAACAAACAAATCTAACTTTATATTACATTCTCATGGGAGCAAGTAAGTTGATAAATAAACAAACAAACAAATAATCATTAAATTGTAGATTTGTTGTATTTTTTATATATGATTTCATTGTATGTATTTTATTTTTATTTAATATTTTGTTTAATATAAGAAAAATATAAATAAGCATTTATATCTAATGCTTTCCATTTTTTTTCCTATTTATTGTAATAAAATGGCCAATAAAATAAATAACTAAATAAATACATGCATGCATACATAAATATTGAAATCATTATATTAAATTAATTCTATACTTTGTTTCTCACACATACACTTTTGTGCCCGAGTGGTAATAGCCTATGACAGATATGCTTTAATACAAAAATAATTAAATAAATAAACAAACAAATTCTATATTTTGTTATTTAGATATTTTTTCTTTTTTTATTATCTAAAAAAAGGCCACAAATAAATAATCTCATATTATATATTTTTCCCTCTTTTTATTGTATATTGTATATTTATTGTGTAAAATGAATGCATGTGTGTTTGATGATAAACTGTACATATTATTTACATAACATTATATATTATATATATTTAAACCTTATCTATTATTTCATTAACTGTATTTTATTTTTATTTAATATTTTGTTTAATATAAGGAAAATATAAATAAGCATTTATATCTAATGCTCTCCCTGCTTTTTTACATTTATTGTAACAAAAAGTCCAATCAAATAAATAAATAAATACCTACATGCATGCATACACAAATATTGAAATAATTTCATATTATATTATTTCGTTTTGTTTATCTATTTATTGTATATAATAGACATGCCAATAAATATACATATTACTATATTAACAATATTAAATATAATATATACAAAATATAATAAATAAATATGAAGACATTTTTGGCCTATTTTATAAAATAATACCATGTAGTAGTCTAAGCCTTTCATCTCCACAGAGAATACCCAGGTGTGTGTGTGTGATTAAAATGTGTTTTCACCCAGTTCCCAGTTGCCCTGTGTTTCCCGTCACCTGCAGCAGTGCTTTCATAAGTGAGATGAGTTTTGAAAGCTCTACACACCTGAAACACTGTGACAATGGCCCACAGCAGGGAGTCAAAGTTTTTCCTGTCAGGTACTGTGTCCCCAGCCTCTGTCCTCAGGCTGAACTTGCAGCCAAATATGTGCATTCCCAGAATACTGCAGAAACAAACAGACAAACAAGCTCTGAATGTTACTCTCACATTTAGATATTCTGATACCGTATGCTTCCGATCGACCCCAACAGGATGTGAGGTGAATGAGTCTGTCAGAGATGAGGAGCCTATAAAAATGATATCAGTGCTGTGTGAGGAGACATATGTCCTGGTTGGACAGCAGCCAGAGATGAGACCAGTCACGCTGGAGAGACAGATCACTGAATACAAAATGAAACACACACCAACAGATAAATGAGACAGGGGTGATGCTACAAACATACAAACAGTGTTTGTCGGTAGCATGTTACTAATGACAAATTTGACATAATCAGATCGTAAACATATTACATTTAAATGAAAATATGTAAGTATAACTGAACAACGCTTACTTGTGGTGCTAAAAGCTTTGTTGTATGTGCGAGTATAATGGGTATTGTAGTTCTAGACAGTGTGTATCATGCTTAGAAGTGACATACAGAGCCTTACAATGATTTCTTGCAGCCTACTGCCAGATTTACTACTTAAAAACTGCAAAACAAGGCTGATAAATATGAATAGTGGACAAAATATCAGAATCTGGGGACTGGATCAGAGCTGTGGTGGATTTGCTCTGTCCTCAAACTCGCAGATATGGTCAAAATAAACTTTGCTGTTGTTTTGACAATGGTTGTGCACAATTTAAGACAGTAAGAAAGTCTATATGAAATATATGCTTGTATAAAATATGCTTACATAAAATCCATAGAAATGTTTAAATCAGAAGGCTGATAGTCCTGTGACATGTTTATACTTTTCTGAAAAAAATAAATAAAAAATCACCGGGAAGTACGGTGATCTCCACCCAGGGATAATACAAATAATAAATACAAAAAAAAAATCTAATCAAATAAATTCATACATAAATAAAGTAAAACGCAATGTTGTACCGCATTACTTTTAACAATAACATCCCACACAACTCCATACAAACCACCCAGTGACAAATGTTTTTCTTTCCTCATTTGAGTTCAGCAGTTCTCTATGCAGCAGAGCAATGACGAAGCCGATTAATAATTGGCACAAATACAGCTTCCAGTCTGTAATGCTGATTCATTCTCTCCATTCGCTCCATCCATACGTCATCCCAGGCATCTGCTAACAGTTACGAAAGCCTGTTGACTGTACCCGCAGGCTGGGGACGATTCTATCCATTTAAGAGACATAAATCAGGGTATTGTTTTCAGATGAGGGGTTATAAATCGAGATGGTTGGTGAGGGGGGAAGGGGATACGCTGAAAGCTAAACGTGAGTGGGAAAGACGGATCGGCGGGATTGGTTTATGCACTCAATTCTGCAGCAGCCTCCATCTGTCTCGGTGCACTCTGCTGGAATTGCAGCGCTGCAGGGGGAAGGCGGGAGAGTCAGTGGGCACAAGGGGCCTGAGTGTTATTGTTCTGCCCTCCATCAATCTCACTCTGATCCTTATGGGCCTGTCACTTGCAGCTGAATCTAAGGTGTACACTGTGCAGCTGAGACACTCAGCCATACAGAGCCCAGCGTGATCCAGCTGCTGTTAGGTGTGAGATTTTATAAACACTCGCTGCTTTGTGTGATAAAGTGTGTGGCGTTTATTACAAACAAGTGTGCGTACGGGTGTGGACAGAGACTATGAGCAAGCACACGGATGTGAGTGAGTTTCATTCAACTACAATTGCATATGAGAACTATTTGAATGCAATAACGAAGAATAAATAAAATTAATGAATAAATAAATAAACTATAATAACAATAAATACATTTTAAAAAGTTGTATATTTAAATACATATATATATATATATAAATATATATACACCAGTCTGGTTTCAGAAGTGGACATTCAACTGAGACTGCCTTGCTCTCAGTTGTTGAAGCCCTGAGACTAGCAAGAGTGGATTCCAAATCTTCAGTACTTATCTTGCTGGATCTGTCTGCTGCTTTTGACACGTTTAACCACCAGATCCTCCAGTCAACCCTATTGGCAAAGGGCATCTCAGGAACCACACTCCAGTGGTTTGAGTCTTATCTCTCAGATAAGTCCTTCAAGATATTTTGGAAAGGGGAGGTGTCCAAGTCACAACATCTAACTACTGGGTAGGGATGGGCGGATCAATCCTTAAGTATTGATACTTTCGATACTGATGTTGAAAGGATCGATCCTCACATAAAAATTTAAATTCTAAAGTGCATTTTTAAACCATTAATTTTATTTATTTATCAAGAAATTCGGTGCATAAAAAAAGCTTCTAAGTATTAGCGAATAATTCTGTAGGATAGAACCATTTCTCCTGCTCATTGGAACACACACAAATGCTGAAAGACAGAACCAATCAATCACAGACAGCGTTCGCTGCTGACGCATTGCTCACAGTGCTTGTTTAAATAAGGCTAGTAGATCTTAAGAAACCATTGCCACATTATTACATTAGCCTACATAACATTGTTACTATATATAAAATTAATTCAGAAAAATGAAGACTGGAGTGGAGATGCTGAAAATTCATATAGCTGCTTTTACTGTTTTTTTTTGGTTCAAATAAGTGCAGCCTTGGTGAGCATGAGACTTAAAAAAATATTACAAAATCTTACTGACCCCAAACTTTTGTGTACATGTAATATATATTTCAAACTGGCTAGTTTGTGCAAGTAAATTTATTTAAACTGGTTGTTAAAAGTTCAAATGGATTGTGTTATGTTCTGTAATTGCTGTTAATAAATCTGTCTAATATGCTAAAGTTTCACCTTTAGGGGTACAACAGCCTGGCAGCCTTTTACAAAAAATAACCATGGTTTTATTACAGTAACCACAGTTTACCACAGTATTTGTAGTAAAACTGCAGTAACCACAAATTTACCATGGTAATAATAATAATAATAATACATTTTAGCACTTATGTAACACCATGTTTATTTCTCATGAGGTATCCTCAAAGGTGCACCTTTGTAACTTATCTACCCTTAAAGCATGCATACTTGTATGGTACTAATATGCTCACTTTTAGGGGTATAGTTGCACCTTTGAGGTTACTGCCCCAGTAAAGGGCTAAAATATAATTATAGTATATTTTATTTCTGACAGTGTAAACAAAAAAGGCCTATGAAATGTTAAAAAAAACATGGCTTTAAAATATCAAGTGAGTATAATTACTGATTATATTCTTTTAATTATTTAAAAGATCAGTTTAGTTTAGAGGTATCGGCTAAAACAGGTCAAGAGATCATCAGTAATATACTTATATATAAACATACACTTTTGTGCCCTAAGTGGTACACAATAACATATAAGCATAACTATAAATAAAAAATAAATAAAAAAACGATACATTATCAGCTTGTCTAACAGACATTTCTTGCTGGATGAAGGACCATCACTCTCAACTCAACCTTGCCAAGACAGAACTGCTTGTGGTTCAATCAACAAGCTGTGTTCAACCAAGTCTCTGCCTTTCTCACACAGCACTACCTCCTTGACAGCAACCAGTCTGGTTTGAGAAGTGAATATTCAACCGAGACTCTCTTGGCAGGTCTTCCAGCCAGTTCTATCAAACTTTTACAATTAATCCAGAACGCGGCAGCAAGATTAATTTTTAAGGAGCTGAAAAGAATGCACGTCACACCTCTGTGTATCAATTTGCACTGGCTACCAGTAGCTGCTCACATAAAATTCAAGGAAGCCCTGTCTAGACTCTGCCCCAGTACGAGTTGTGTCAAGCTATTAATTTGACTGTTTGTTTGATGAAAAAAAGATTAAATGTAGTTGCAATAAACGCGTTAAGAATCCATACAACTGCAGCAGCAGAGGACTATTATTCTGCTGTGTGATACTGCGGAAGAACTGATGAAGGCACGGTTTGATCTTCGGCTGACCAATCAGCAGAAACGGGCGTTTAATTCCCGTCCACATGTAGAAATCAAATATTCAAGCTGTTTATTCATTTTTCCACCCATGAACGAAAAACGAAAAAAGAGCCGTTTTCTTATTTTTCTACTTTCAATATTAAATAAAAAAACGAATGATCGAATGACACACTGATTTTGCTCTTTTGTTGATTTTGATTGCTTCCATTGTCCTCATTTGTAAGTCACTTTGGATAAAAGCATCTGCTAAATGTCTAAATGTAAATTATATACAAATATATATAGTATATACAGGGCTTGACATCAACACCGTCAACCCGCCAAATGAGGGTGAATTTCAGCAGTGGCGGGTAACACGGTCTCTCCCACTAGCCACTTTGGCGGGCTGAATTTTACAGTAACAGAGCTCAACATTAATGCTTGTTTGGGACAAGTGGATTTTTTGAAGGGAAAAATGCCCTTTAAATAGCCCAAAAATGACCTGGAAATCAATGTAAATACATTTTTGCATGCAGTATTAAGTCATATAAAACATAATTTCCCAACAACAAAACTGTGGCAAGTGAAAATGCTGAGTGGCTTGTAAATTTGGAAAACCACTAGCCACAGTGGCTACAAAACCACCACTGGCTCTGCACCCCTTTACCTAAATTCATTACTTCAGACTTATGTGCCCTCTAGAAGCTTGCGTTCTGCAAGTGAACGTCGCTTTATTGTGCTATCCCAAAGACGCACAAAATCACTTTCATGGAGTTTTAAATTAACTGTTTGCTCCTGGTGGAATGACCTGCCCAACTCTGTCCGAGCAGCTGAATCCTTAGCCATCTTCAAGAATCGGCTAAAAACACATCTCTTCCACCTTTATTTGACCCTCTAACTCTAGCACTCTCTATTCTAATTCTATTCTTAAAAAAAAAAACTTGCCCCTTTTAGATTTGCACTCTATTTATTTACTAACTGCTTGTTTTCTTAAAAAAACCTAACACTTGCTTCTCTAATCTTTTTGTATTATATCTATTTGTTTTCTTTTTATTTATTATACAATTAACAAAAGCAAAAAAGGCCTCTAACACACTTGCTCTATTCTTTTTCTATTCTATCTGTTTTCTTTTTATTTATTATACAATTAACAAAAGCAAAAAAGGCCTCTAACACACTTGCTCTATTCTTTTTCTATTCTATCTGTTTTCTTTTTATTTATTATATGATTTAAAAAAAAACTTGCTACGTGTAACTGCATTAAGCTAACTGAGACTTTTATAGCACTTACATATCATTGCTCAATCCGTGTATCATTCGATCATTAGTTTTTTGATTTAATATTGAAAATAGAAAAATTAGAAAAATGAAGAAAAAACGAGAATTCAGCTTAAATTTAAAAAAAAAACTTGCTACGTGTAACTGCATTAAGCTAACTGAGACTTTTATAGCACTTACATATCATTGCTCAATCCGTGTATCATTCGATCATTAGTTTTTTGATTTAATATTGAAAATAGAAAAATTAGAAAAACGAAGAAAAAACGAGAATTCAGCTTAAATTTAAGTTTTTTGTTCATGGGTGGAAAAATGAATAAACAGCTTGAATATTCGATTTCTACACGTGGGCGGCAATTAATTTGGTCAGCCGAAGATCAAACCGTGCCTTCATCAGTTCTTCCGCAGTATCACGCAGCAGAATAATAGTCCTCCGCTGCCAGTTGTACGGATTAATAACCTATTTTATCAATTTCAAATTTTTCATCAAACAAACAGACTAATGAACAGCTGTCATATCATACCCTGCCATGCCCAGCTGATGCAAAGAATATAATTTATATCTACACAGAAGAAAGCCCTGTCTAGACTCTGCCCCAGTACGAGTTGTGTCAAGCTATTAATTTGACTGTTTGTTTGATGAAAAAAAGATTAAATGTAGTTGCAATAAACGCGTTAAGAATCCATACAACTGCAGCAGCAGAGGACTATTATTCTGCTGTGTGATACTGCGGAAGAACTGATGAAGGCACGGTTTGATCTTCGGCTGACCAATCAGCAGAAACGGGCGTTTAATTCCCGTCCACATGTAGAAATCAAATATTCAAGCTGTTTATTCATTTTTCCACCCATGAACGAAAAACGAAAAAAGAGCCGTTTTCTTATTTTTCTACTTTCAATATTAAATAAAAAAACGAATGATCGAATGACACACTGATTTTGCTCTTTTGTTGATTTTGATTGCTTCCATTGTCCTCATTTGTAAGTCACTTTGGAAGAGTGAAAAATTTAAGGGGGTCTGAATACTTTCCGTACCCTATATATATATATATATATATCCAATATGTTAATAATATGCATGCTAATTAGCAACTAGTTAATAGTAAGAAGTGGTCCCTATACTAAACTGTTACCATATATTTTTTTCTAGTTCTCAAAGAAAACATGAATAAATTAATGATTCCATTTCTTTTTTCTATCTTTTGATTTTGTATGATAAAACAGGTCAAGAGATCATCAGTAATATACTTATATATAAACATACACTTTTGTGCCCAAGTGGTACACAATAACATATAAGCATAACTATAAATAAAAAATAAATAAAAAAACGATACATTCAATATTTTGACTTTTTATTATCTAAAAAAAGCCCACAAATAAATAATCTCATATTTAAATATCATAATAAAACGGTCCAAATACATATACATAAATATTTTTCCTCTTTTTATTGCAGATAACAAAACAAGCCAAGGGAAAAAAAATGTATGTGTGTGTGTTTAATGACAAAGTGTGTCTTTTATTACTAACAAGTGTGCGCTCAGATACAGACAGGGACTATGAGTAATCACACCGATATGAAACACATTAAGTTTCATTCATCAATAATTGCATAAGGGACCCACAGGAATGCAATAACGAAGCTCAACCCACCTGAATATGAAGATAAAGAGCATTAGTAACATGCAGAATGTGGCCACGTTGTCCATGGTCTTCATCAGGACCACCAGCTGTCTGCGCAGAGCTGGCATGAACCGCACCAGCTTTATGACCCTCAACAGTCTGAATGTCCTCAGGACGGACAGACCCCCGTCACACTGCCCAACGATCTCACATACACTATACACAAACACACAAAAAAGTGTTGATTATAATGTAGAAAAAAATATTTGTGTGTGTATATATACAGTATACAGTATATGTGTGTGTATATATATATAGTATATATATATATATATATATATATATATATATATAAATCGTATTCCAAGGGTACACAATAGCCTACAACAGAATAACCTTTACTTGAACACGGCATTAAAACTGACATTTTATCTTGCCTTCATCATAAATTTTTGCTACTCAAATGCCTTTTACATATATTTTTTAATGGCTTTAAGGTATGGTCACATTAGTGACATTTCATCAAATTTTCACAGGCGCACAGTTTAAAGGTCACATGTACTCTTGACTTGTCTTAAATCTTAAAACTTAAATCTTAAGCTATTTTTATTACAATTATTATGCTTCAAAACTTTTTTTTTCATAAATTGACTGTCTGTTGTGGTGTCCCTTTTTGTAGTTTCTCTATGAAGTGTACTTGGTTACCAATGAGACAATGAGTAAAAAGCATGCTTGAGATGAGATGTGGGGGAAAAAATCCAAGTTAAATATCATTATTTTTGTTGAGTTATTTCCAGTCAAGCTGTTATTTTGTCAAATATTATGCAAAATAATACCCAAACCCCCCCCCCAGACATTCTACAAACTATAAAAGAGAATGCACTTGCCTGATGATCACAATAATTCCATCAAAGATGTTGTAGGGGTTTCTCAGATATTGAAAGAAGCCAAAGGCAGTCAGCTTGAGGATCATCTCCAGGGTGAACATACTGGTGAACACTATGTTACAAATCTCCAGGACATTAGTCAGTTCATCAGGCTGTAGACAGAAGTTAAATATATGAGTGTCACAGCAAAGGGTCTGAATACTTAGGACCATGTGATATTTCAGTTTTTCTTTTTTAATAAATCTGCAAAAATGTCAACAATTCTGTGTTTTTCTGTCAATATGGGGTGCTGTGTTTACATTAATGAGGGAAAAAAATGAACTTAAATGATTTTCGCAAATGGCTGCAATATAACAAAGAGTGAAAAATTTAAGGGGGTCTGAATACTTTCCGTACCCACTGTATATATATATATATATCCAATATGTTAATAATATGCATGCTAATTAGCAACTAGTTAATAGTAAGAAGTGGTCCCTATACTAAACTGTTACCATATATTTTTTTCTAGTTCTCAAAGAAAACATGAATAAATTAATGATTCCATTTCTTTTTTCTATCTTTTGATTTTGTATGATAAAACAGGTCAAGAATCATTATTTTTGTTGAGTTATTTCCAGTCAAGCTGTTATTTTGTCAAATATTATGCAAAATAATACCCAAACCCCCCCCCCAGACATTCTACAAACTATAAAAGTGAATGCACTTGCCTGATGATCACAATAATTCCATCAAAGATGTTGTAGGGGTTTCTCAGATATTGAAAGAAGCCAAAGGCAGTCAGCTTGAGGATCATCTCCAGGGTGAACATACTGGTGAACACTATGTTACAAATCTCCAGGACATTAGTCAGTTCATCAGGCTGTAGACAGAGAGAGAGAGAGACATTGAGGACAAGCGAGAGTATGGGAAGAATAAAAGAAGAGGCAAATGTGGAGAGGTCATTTCAGATCACTGCATTGCTGTCCAAGAGAGTGTGTGCATTGTTGCATGGACAAGATCAGCTTTTGACAGCAGGCATGAGTTCCTCAGTGAGGCTGTGACCTCCTCATATGATATAAAGGTCAGAGAAAACGGAGTTTAATCCTGAACAATTCCTTGTGGAACATCAGTTAGAAAAAGATCAGGGGTGGTGGGAGTACAATGATACTATATGTGAATTGTAAACGCTGCATGTCTGCAGCTTATTCTGGCCAAGAACTGCCCACTAGACGGGAAGAAACTGTCTGATTGACATGTAAGGTGACCAATCACAGATGGTTTTGTTTTTATGCATTGTTTAGAGGCAGATTATTTGAAATGGATTACACAACACAGAAAGGTGCAGAAAAACATTAAGTCTCTGTGAACTTTTGGACCGAAAACACAGTCAAAATTGCTGTCAGTCCAAAAATAAGTACTGATAATAGAAAACAAACAAATGCAAAAAACAAAGTTGATTCTGCTTGTGAATATCTTTAGTTATCTACAATAGTTAAGTGTAAATGTAGTTATTTGACCTGAATCAAAATGCTGATGCCCACTGCATGTTTACGTAATATGCAAATATGATATATAAAATAACTATATATCCACACTAGTGTTTAAAATGCTAGGGTCGGTTTGATTATTTAATGTTTTTGAAATAAGTCTCTTTTGCTCACCAAGGTTGCTTTTATTTGATCAAAAATACAGTAATAAACAGTAATATTGTGAACTATTATAACTATTTAAGAAAATTGTTTTCTATTTTAATACACTGTATATTAAAATGTAATTATGTGATGGCAAAGCTGAAATTTCTGCAGCTTTTCCCCAAGATCCAATCATTCTATATGCTGATTTTATGCTCAAGAAACATTTCTTATTATTATCTATGTTGAAAACAGCTGTGCTGCTTAACATTTTTGTGCAAACCGAGATACATTTTTTTTCTGGATTCTTACTTTAAAGATAAAAATAACAGCATTTATTTGAAATATTTCGCAACATTATTAAAGATAAAAAGAGAACATTTTAACTGACTGAATGGTAGTGTAGTATTACTACTACAGTAAAAATACAGTAGGCTCTCTTAACCCAACCAGGTTCCACAGCTTTGTTTCCAGGCAGACTAATGGTCATGTGCAGAGGCAAATAATTCCAGCTATTCAGATTGTAGCTGGTGATTTAAGCCATTTTTGTGTGCACTAAGCATCAGACAGTCGGTGAACAGACTGTGGGGGGGTCTATCGAAGGCTGAGACTAGTGTAAGATCTACTGTGCTTAGAAAGGGATCAACAGGCCACCCTGATCTGCGTCAGTCCACGCTGTGTAATCTAACATCACATAAATCCATTACACCTTATCTCAACCGATAACACTATGTATGTTCATGTGCACAAGTGAGAGGGTGGCCGAATTCCAGGGGAGCAAAAGCGAAATCTGATTTAAGAACACTTCCTTCGTTGGCCCTTTTGTTCCTTCTCTCTCCATCCCCTTTATCGATCGATATCTCTCCATTGACAAGTTAAAGCCAAGAAAACACAACTGAAGGACGAATGAAAACCAAACCACAGGCAGCTCCTGGGAGATGCCATTTAGAGAAATTGAATATTGACACAGCAATCAGGAGTAATAATGGCAAAACAACACAGTAAGAAAACACCAGTAGCTTCTCCTCCCTCTTTCCATTTTTATCACCCCTTCTTTCTTTGTCCTCCCACAGACTGTACTGTAAACTGCTCTTAAATCAATCCATCAGCAGATCATCTCATTATCAAACCTATTTGTACAATACTTCAACAATGCTGTAAGTGATTTTTGGTAAACCATGAATAAATTGTCACTAAATCCCGACAGATCACTGAAATATGACTTGAAAAATCTCACCTAGACTCTCTTTTTCAGCCAATCTGTCAGTCATTTTGAGTGTTCATTGACATGGAGGGCAGGATTTTGGAGACGGGGGCCAGTCTAATGTTTAACGCTATCTCTTCATCCAAATTTGGCAACTTCCCTTTTACATAGTGTGCGAAAGTACACCAACTGAGTGTTGAGCATCCAAAAACACAATACTCATCACAGCAAAATCCCCAGAGTTAAATTAACTCTGCTCAGAGTACATATTGTCCCAATCTACAGAGTGCTAAAGTAACACAGAAGCAGAGTTAGCACTGTTGAGGATTGTTTGATAAGTTTTCATGTCTAAAAGCCTGAGCAGTAGTTGTTCATCTTCAACACTGTTAACAGCAGGTGTTCATCACTATTGCTCAATCATCACTTATTTAATCACTTAATTATCTCATTAACTTCAACTCTGCTTCAGTTACTTTAACATTCTATTGATTGGGACAATATGTACTCTGAGCAGAGTTGATTTAACTCTGGGGATTTTACTGTGGACAAAGTAGATGACAAATCCCCGGATGACCTGCTACTTCCACCAGGATATTACGCCTATGCATATTTTATAGAACAGTCTTTATCAGCTTTTTTTAACAGCTAAGATGTTCAAGATGTTAAATGCAGTACAAATTCTGACAGATTTCAGGAAGAGGCAACAACTGTCAATTAATAAAAAAAAAAATCCCTTCTTCCCTACTTCAAAAAACAGAATTGGTCCAAAATACCAGTCCTTGTAAATGAGTTAAAAATCAAGCATGTTTTAAAGTGATAGTTCACCCAATTTACTCACCCTCATGTTGTTCCAACTTATTTTCTTCTGCGGAAAATAAATCAGATATTTTAAGAAATGATCCAGTGATTTTTTTTGTCCATACAATGAAGGTCAAAAGTTACCAAAACTTCTTCAAAATATCTTCTTTTGTGTTCCACAGAAGAAAGAAAGTGATACGTTAACTCCTATTTATTCATATTAATCACACAAAAGTGCATGTCTTTATACTTGTTCAATTATTATTATGTCTTGTTGTATTTATATGTGAGCAATGGAAATTTCATATAAAAAAAAAATCCTTGTATGTGCAAGCACACTTGGTAATAAAGCAATTTTGAATTCTGATTAATCAATTTTTGTTATCCAGTCTATATATTAAATGTGCAAACTCCATTTGAAATGAATTACATACAATAATATGCAACACTTTACAGATTAAGGGCCAGATTTACTAAAAAGGGCAAATAAGCGTTGGAGCGCAATTCCATAAAAGCGCCGATGGGAGGGGAAAATTCTGCGGGTTTACTAACAATGCACACATTAATGAACACAGACGCAGCCAGATCATTTCCATAATGACCAACTCAATCTACCAAGAGCAGCGCAAATTAGCGACTGCTTTAACACCAGCTTTTTTGGGGCATTAAATAATGGCACAAATACCAGTAATTTGGCAAGCACAAATCTTAGTAAATCGCGTAAATTGCATGATTCATTTTAATACTCTCCTCCCATAAATTTTGCACAATTCTTCACTGCGCGTCTTTAGTAAATCCTGACAGTACTATTTTAATTATATTAAACTATTATACAGTACTAGTTTGCACTGGCACAAGCTAGTTAGTAAATCTTGATCCTAAATCTGCATTTCATTTAATTTATTTAACGTTTAATTATTTTGAAACTTCCTCTTGCTGCTTCCTCAGACAATCGCACAATCCCTGCATGATCCTGGCACTCACCTCCCATATCGAAAGAATTTCAGTTGATACACTTCCTGGGCCACGCTTTTCTCTTAGAGCAACAGGAACCTTTAAATGCATTTGTGTGTGCAGACCGAGTGCATTGACACTTGTTCGATCGACTGTTGTGTGTGAGTACAAACACACACACACACACACACACACACACACACACTGCCCACACACATGTAAATATTGCGATCTTTACCAGGCTGGTTGAGAGTCAGGTTAAAACATACTGAGTCACAGCAGATGATGTCATCACACATGATCAGTTTAACCATATAAGACATCCTCCCATAAATTTTGCACAATTCTTCACTGCGCGTCTTTAGTAAATCCTGACAGTACTATTTTAATTATATTAAACTATTATACAGTACTAGTTTGCACTGGCACAAGCTAGTTAGTAAATCTTGATCCTAAATCTGCATTTCATTTAATTTATTTAACGTTTAATTATTTTGAAACTTCCTCTTGCTGCTTCCTCAGACAATCGCACAATCCCTGCATGATCCTGGCACTCACCTCCCATATCGAAAGAATTTCAGTTGATACACTTCCTGGGCCACGCTTTTCTCTTAGAGCAACAGGAACCTTTAAATGCATTTGTGTGTGCAGACCGAGTGCATTGACACTTGTTCGATCGACTGTTGTGTGTGAGTACAAACACACACACACACACACACTGCCCACACACATGTAAATATTGCGATCTTTACCAGGCTGGTTGAGAGTCAGGTTAAAACATACTGAGTCACAGCAGATGATGTCATCACACATGATCAGTTTAACCATATAAGACCGAGTGGAACACAAACTCTCATGAGGAAAGTCCTGGTTATATGCGAGCCCGTACACAGGGGCTCCTCTGTTTGCCTGCGTAGGCTGCATTTACATGATGTCTCACATGTTAAAAATGCTGCGTAATAGAAGCTAGCGGTGACTATATGTTTTTCTCTCTCTCTATATCCGTCTCTCTCTGCTTGTTGATATTTTTAGAGCCCAGAGAGATGAGAAAACAGGCCCCACTGCAGGCGAGGCAGTGAAGACATGAGGGGGCGGAGGGGGAGAGACATACAGCGAGAGCAAGATAGAGAGAGTGTGCATGAGTAGTAGTAGCTTTCTAGATCTTCCAAAGATAATTAACTGCACTTTCAAGGCAAGAAAAAATCCAACAAGACTCCAAAGGCCGTTCCACAGGCTCTCATTACTTTGAATGGCAGGCCCTGTGAAGACTCTATCAGCACTGCAGAAAGAGCCGGCTATTACAGTAATATGTGACATGATGAGGTTGAACACTTCTTCAGAGTGGGTTCATTATGTGAACCGACTGTGCTGCGGGTGAAATTACCTGGTTATGGTGCTCGATGCCCATGCTGATTGTATTGATGAGGATGGCGATCATAATCCCTCTGTTGAAGTACTTGCTTTCAACTATACCCCAAAGCTTCACTCTCATTTCATCCCAAACATCTTTACATTTCCCAAAACAGGTGCGTTTCCTCTTTGGCGAATCCACAGAGTCATCGTCCCCCTTCTCGTCCAAGCGGTTCTCGTCCCTGTCGGTCTCCTCCAGCGCACCCTCCTCTTCCTCCCCATTGGCCGAGTGCCCCGTCGATCCCGCCCCTTCCTTGAGTGACAGGGCGGCAGCACACTGAGGACACTCCTCTGGGTTTGGGGTGATGGAGAGGGAGATGGCGTTCTCCAGAGGTTGGGAGCTGTGGTCCAACTTGGTATCGTGAATACAGTGAGGTGCTGCGGGACAGACGAAAAATTCAACATTTCTGTTTGACATTTTCATATAATACAATAAAATTTTTGCCAGTCAGTTTCTTGGACAACTGCCACGCTGCTGCTTGGGATTGAAATGTCATTGGGCCATAAAAGCAAACACATGGATGGATTTGTTCTTGTTTTTATTGCAACTTGCTCTTTGCTTTTATAACTTGCTATTTGGTTTAGAGTGGTGGGGAAGCTACTTTGAAACTTGGCCAGGCTACAAGCAATTTTTTATGACACAAAAGAAGCTAAAATACACTGAAGCAACTTAAAAGGGCAATACTGTTTAAAATAATTTTCTGATGATATAATTCCTCATTTTAGAGCCATATTCTTTTGGGGTTTGAAGGAATGAACAGTGACGACATCAGACTTTTACAAATAAATCGATACTAAATCAAAGGAAAAAAAATAGAATAGAATATATGCTGAATAAAACGGAAAGTAGCGGAATATATCATAATAAAACTAAAATTAACTGAATAAAAAAACACCACAATTAACAATTAATTTTAAATTTAAATTAACTTAGGATTTACTTCAAAACTACGTAAAATGCTGTGCAGTGATTTCTTTTTGATATATTCATTTACATTGTTAAAAAAACCTTCACTTTCCAATATACATACAGTATAAGCAAGAGAGGGCAGTTTAACATGAATCAATTCACTAGAATAAATCAAAATGTTTGATGCCAAATACAAGTGATAGATAAGAGGTCAGGATGAACTGAATCAATCAGATTTTCCAGTGCTACATTTGAGTGAGAGGATAGTTTAAGACAAACAAAGGAATCAGATTTTCATACATTCTCTCACTCACATTTTGTGTTGGAAGGTCTGATCCCAGCAAATCAGATTTTCTAGCACAACATATAAGTGAAAAAGAACAGTTTAGAGTGAATTTTGAATTTTCCTACACTATGAGTGAAAAAGGTTCCTTTAGCTTAGGACGATTGATTCGCTAGACTGAATCAAACTTTTCAACACCGTATAAGCAAAAATGGGGAGTTTAGGATGACTGATTTCTCTAGAACTAATCAACCTTTTCAACATTATATACAAGACAAGAAAGTGCAATTTAGTACGACAGCTTGCTACTATTTTGAACACAGCTGAGCTAATGTCAGGCTAAAATAAACATGTGTTTGGTTAATTTGAGATATTCTCTCCTCAACACTGTTAGACAAAGCTTTTCTATGACCCAATGCCATTCCTCTGTCTCTAACTCTCTCCTTACTCACTCTGAGTAGAATGGCAGTGGTGTCTTTCGCTGCCATTCACATTAGCTCCTCCCCCTGTCGATCCTGCCCCTCCCCTGCCACGCCCCCTCCCTCCTCCAGGGGGAGGGGCTTTGCCACGGAGCATGTAGTAAAGGGCGGCTGAGCGGCGGCGGGCCTTGCGCAGGATGTGGCAGACCAGCTGGAAGAGCTCCTCGTAACAGTCTCCGGGCTCAGCGAGCGAAGCCAGCGTGCTGGAGGACAGGTAGCGAGCGCGTTGCTCTTGCATCAGCTGGTGCTCTCGCTGTTTGGTCTCTGAAAACTGAGTGGCAATGACCACCAGGCACAGATTAATCATGAAGAAAGATCCAATCTGGAACAGGAAGAAGAAGAGAAAGAGAGAGTTGACTAACTTTCTTCTATGGATTAAAAAAATGCTACAGAAACATTTGAGTGCTTTCTGGTACTGCTTGTTCCTTTCTGAAGCTATTTTCTAGGGAACAATTGTTCATTGACAACCCCCTCTTTAAATCAGATTCATTTGGATCTTCAGTTCGATTTACTGATTGGTCACACTCACCACAGTTATATACATAGTCAATGAGCTGAACTTGTGAACAAATCCTTCAGACTTAAACGGATCCACCAATTCAACCAATTTGAGTAAAACAATCCCCCAGATTCATTTACAAATCAGATATTAGTGCGTCTTTTATAAATATTCTAAGGACTGATCGCAACTATTTTCAATGAATAGCAACATTTTGGCCTTTTTGTCAGACAAAAGTATTGTTGATATTTTTGGAATATAGTGCACAATAGCTGCATATGGACTGATTTTATGATATTTTTGCAACTTGTTAAAGCTTTAACACTCCAGTTAGCATTCAGTATAAAATCACAGGGTTTGAAATAACACATAAATAATGACTAAATATTAATTTTTGGGTGAACTACACCTTTAAAAACACCTTTTTAGTTCATTTATTTGAGCATTTTGCTGTCATTGCTTTCTTATACACTAAAGATAAATTTTAAGTTTGATTCTGTTACCATAACTCTTGCACTATGTGTGAAGTCTCAGCTGCTTTAAATATCCAGATCTACATGACACCTAAACCCCTCTAAGCTCTCTAACACAGCCTGTGCTGCAGTGCTTGGCATAAGCAGCGGCCATAGCTGTCTAGATGAGCTGCTATAAACGGACCCTATGTTTGAAAAAGTCAGCAGACGCCCAAACAAGAGCCTGTTTTGTTGTGTGTGCTCCTGTATTGCTCTGGCTTTGATATGCTATAATTATCAGGCTCTTTCATAGGAGCAAAATCTCTAAATATCTCCTAGTCCTCGCAGAGAAGGGTTGGATCCCTCTGCCAACGTGAAACGGATTAGAATTGCGAGCAAATCATTTTAAAGGCCGAGAGCGAACCAGTTCCAGATTCAAAAGAACAGAAAGCCTGTTCTTATATCATTCGCCATTCATATCACTGGCATTTGTCAACACGCAAATGCACACAGAGCTCGCTCTTAGGTCTTATTGAAAGTACAGCCTGGTTCCTGCATACAGTATGTGAAGTAGGGATCAGAGGGGATGGATGAATCGTGAGGGGAACAGAGGAGGTGGAGAAACGCACAGAAGTGTGTGTGTGGAGGGGGG